TTCAGGTGGTTGGAATGTCGAAAAAAATGAATAACAGCAAAAATTGCAATATGGGCACTGTTAAAAAAACGATTGCTGAAGACATTAAGTTTATAATACCCAGAAATTCCCACACATATGTCCTCAAGGACATGACACAGTGGATAAAAAGCGTTAGTTAGATCCAGATAAGACCAAAAGAGTGCGAGTTCAATACCCGGTTAAGGTAGTGGAGAACTTGGAGAGGGGAATTAACGGGAGATAACTGACAATTGACATCCATTAAACATGGCACGTGGAACAGTCTAAACCAAGTGAGCGAAATATAGGATTCAGTTCGACATTCCAACCAACTGAAGAAGGCCTAAACGTTGTAATAAATATGACGACAAAGATGAATAATGTAAATAGCGTACATAATAATACCTCATCACAGAAATATAGACAGATACTGAAGGGCCGATACGTTGTAGTAAATATGGCGACATAGATGAGGACAATAGTCCGAATAATGTAAATAGTGTGCATAATACATCATCTCAGAAATATAGACAGATACTGAAAGGCCGAAACGTTGTAATCAATATGGTGACAAAGATGAGGACAATAGTCCGAATATTGTAAATAGTGTACATAATAATACCTCATCACAGAAATATAGACAGATACTGAAGGAAAGATGAAGTAATCATGTTCGCATCTCATATCGGACACTCCATGATTACTTATACTTATATTCTAAAACAAAAAAAGCATTTACACTCTGAGATAGTATGCCAAGACCTATATACAATAAAACAAATACTAATAAATTGTAGCGGAAGTCGTCAGATACGTTTGAAATACTACCAAAAAAACAACATGAAAGTATTCTTTCATGGCAGTAATCTGAAAAAAATCAAACTGTATTCCAAAATATAACTTCAACAAAACTACAACATAAAACACACATATCATTGCCTCTAATAATCATGTCCACAAAAACATGTAATTGCACAAAAGCTGAGTATCATCTACCATGTATACAAATGTGAATGCAGAAGAATATTATCATATTTTATTACATCAAAGAAAATTAAATTAAATTACATCATTAAATGACCCATAATGATGCTGTTATGCCGTTCAACAAACAAATCAGTCATTCTTTACATTAAGTAAGATATTAGTAAGAAAAGATATGAGTAGCGAGAATGTTTTGAAGAAGTTAGGTATCATTTATAGTAAAATGACCAAAAATAGATTGTATCTGTAGTTGAAGGCATACAATTGCATATCAAATATTTAGATTTGGGCATTAATCAACCCATAGAAATGTTTATGCTACCAAACAAAATCAACCAATCAACATGAAAGAATTCTTTTAGGACATTAATCCATATAATATCTTAGAATTTTTTTAAAGAAATCAAACTGTATTCCAAAATACAAACATCGTTCATTCTTTATATTAAGTAGTCCTTGTGCCTATTACAGGATGGGTATTAATTAAAAAAAAAGATATGAGTATCAAGAATATTTTGAAGAACTTAGGTAACATTTATTGTAAAATGACCATCAAAACATATTAAAAGCAAAATGACCAAAAGTATGTTTTATACTAAAATGACCAACAATACATTTTATCTATAGTTGAAGGCATACAATTGCGTTTAAAATATTTAGATTTCGTCATTAATAATCCATAGAGTTTTATATGCTGCCAAACAAAATCAACCAATCAACATGAAAGAATTCTTTCATGACATTAATCTATATCATATCCTCTAGTTTCTTAAATCAAACTGTATTAAAAAATATAACTTCAACAAAACTACAACATAAAACACATATCACTCTCTTTAATAATTATGTCCACAAAAACATGGAGTTGGACAAAAACTGAGTATCATCTACCATGTATTCAATTGTGAAAGCATAACAACATATATTTTTATTACTTCAGATCTCCCAGGAAAATTAAATTTCGTCATTAAATGACCTATAAGGATGTTGATATGCCGTTATACAAACAAACAAATCAATCTGGGTGAAGGGCAACAACCGTAAACAATTTTTTTCTCTAGAATCTATCTTACATATTTATAAGTCTACCATTCGCCAATGCTTAGAATATTGCTGCCAAATATGGTCCTGTTTCATTTCAATTTATCTTGAGATTCTTAAGAAGTAATTATGTCCAGACAAACGTGTATATACAAGATGAAATGGATAAAATGTCGTCTAAATGAGGCAAAAATGAAAATAACACTGACATCTCATCTTAACATATATTTTTTTACCAAAATTACACAAAAATATATTCAAATACTAAAGAGTAAATTTATTAAAGAACATCGCCATTGGCTTCAACCGCGGCCTCCAGACAATTTCGGAATCTCCTGCATCTCTTCTGGACGGTCTCCCTGTTTAAGTTCAAGGATTTCGTTGGTCTCCCACTCAACTGCGCGCGCACATAATTGCAGTCAGGGGAGTTAGGTGTATGGGTGACCTGGTCGAAGAAATTGTCCGGTAGCTATGACTGTGTTCTCCTGCTTGTGTGGTATGCTGCAGAGTCCTGTTGCCAGATTTACGTAAGATGAATGTAGGCATAACGTTGCCACCACTAGTGATTATTACAAACAGCTTCGTAATCAGCATTAAACTCATCCAACTCTTTCCGAATCATCAGCACTCTCCTCAGATTGACACCCAAACACTTTGAAATGTTCGTTTTAGAGCTTCCAGCGCGAATGCCAAACAGTACAGCATGTTGTTTCCATTTTTCTGGTGGTGTGAATTTCGTTATGGTGCTCTTTTTCTAACAGACGGTGTCCAATAGATTCTACTGTACTGTGCAGTAGACACAATCGTGAGCAAACAACGCGCATGCGCAAAATTAAAAATAAAAAACTGCGACAATTTATCCATCGCATCCTGTACACAAAATGAATATTATCTGACATTATTTACATTTTGTTCGAACTGTTGTCTTCATCATTATTGCCACATTACCGGCGTTTCGGCCGTTGTATGCTTCGAGGAACGTTTTATTTCGTCCACCTGGGTTCTAGTTCCACGTGCTATGCCTCTTCCGGATGTCTCAGTTTAACTAAACTCTCCAAGCTTTTGTCCACCACTGCCGTAGTCAGTGATTGATCTCACAATATTTAGGCCATCCACTGCGCCATGCGTCCTTAGGGCATCGGTGTACGAATTTTGGAACCTATAAATTTAATATCTGTGTTATCATTTTTTACCAAACCTCATTTTGCATTTCTTTGTTCAATCAGTGGTTAACTGGAGCAAGGAATGGCTTGTAAATCTGAACTCTTCCAAAACAAGGTATTTACTCTGTCTCCCTACTCAGACGAGTTGTGACACAAGGTCAATTTTTAAGGTGGGGACCCGAGCGCGTACACCCGGGCTAGGAACAAAAATTGCCAGCAGCCCCCCCCCCGCGCAAACATCGGTTGTGTTGGCCTCGGTGCGAGCACCGATCCCTCTCTCTCCCTCTCTCTAGTGCAATGAGAGCTGGGAACCTTTCAGTATAATTTTCCTCAGTTGCAACTCTGTTCTTTGACATAGCCATCATGAGCGCACTCTGCCCAAAGTCAGAGACGCAACTGAGAGATGATAAATAAAGGTGTTACAAACTACTTTTTAGTAACTTACACACATTGTTTTAGTCTATACCATAATTTGTTTTCTTTTTTATTTAGTTTCCAAATTGACTTATTAAATTTTTCTGTTTCAGTAATTATTTCCTGTCCAGGTAATTTTTTTCATATGTATCCTTATTGTTGATTAATAAATTAATTTTTCCATTGTATGAGATTTATTATTCATGATGGCAATCCCAGCTTAATTCCAAGGATGGAATATAGATTTCCTTAATTACTGTTAGGTTCCTTAGTGCATATAAATGTCTCTGTAGCAAAGTTCTTTCGTTGTTCCCTTTATAGTGGCTGTATTCATTCCTTGAATGAAGCTTTGGTGAATTCTGTGTCGTGTTGTCTATGATTTTTAACTATTATGTCAACTCCATCTCCTTTAAAAAGACAAAGACGCAACTGAGAGATGATAAATAAACGTGTTACAAACGACTTGTGAGATCATTTTACACAATAATGCTTCCAAAACAAAACTGCTTTCATTTAATCACCATAGAGAACCTTTTCTGCCTTCCGTCAGCATGGCTGATGCTAACCTCCAAGAGAGCAACACTCTATGCTTTTTTTGGGTTCACTGTCATGAAGTGGAATGATTATATACAATCAATTTCTAGGTCTACTGCTACGAACGTTTGTTCTCTGTGTTATCGTACAACACTTTCCCGTCAGAATGCATCTTGAAGACTAAGAACTCTACCATTCGTCCGTGTATTGACTACCGGTGCCATATCTGGTCCGATGGTCATACCATATATCTCAGAATTCTTGATAAATTCGAAGACGGGTTTATAAATTAATCGATCCTGACCTGGCATCACGACTTTAGTTATTTCCCGTTGCTGTGGCGTGTTAACACTCTGTCTTTTAAACAAATATTTTACTAGTAATCGTTCTGATGAGCTTTCCCTCTTGGTGCCTCGATTGCCTGATTTAAAGCATGCTACTAGATTGGCAGTTAGGTCACACTGGTTTTTTTTATTTAACTGGATGCAACTGTATGTTCTATTCTAATATATTAATTTCTCATACTTGATTCACTGTCAACTACAATCTTCAAAATTTTAAAGGCAACGTCAATAGCCATCTTTTGTCTTCCCGAATCCTGATATTTCTTTTTTGACTTTCTCCTAATATTCTACTCACTAAAGTCTTCGCACTTTCTATCACTCTCAGTAACCCCTTAAGTCCTAGTGGCATTATCGCCTTGCTTGGGGTGAAATGATAAAATAGGATAAGAGAATAGTACAATGTGTAAGTGGTGGAAACGTTACTTTTTGGAATAGGTTTAAATGCAGAAGTGGAATGTTAAGTAAGAAATGGAATAAGATCTTGATGAATTCCGGATAGTAACGGTTGGAATCAAAACAATCAAGAGAGACCAAAGAATTGAAAGAATAAAAGAGATGGCAAAGGAAGGGAAAAAGACAATGTTTTCGAAGCGACGATTAAATAAAGACTCAGCAAATATGTATACAAAAAAGAAAGAAAGAAAGAAAGAAAGAACGAAAGAAAGAAAGAATGAAAAGAAGAAAAACACGAAAGAAAGAAAGAATGAAAAGAAGAGGGAACGAAAGAAAGAAAAAATGAATACAAGAAAGAACGAAAGAAAGAATGAAAAGACGAAAGAACGAAAGAAAGAAAGAATGAAAACAAGAAATAACGAAAGAAAGAAAGAATGAAAAGAAGAAAAGAACGAAATAAAGAAAGAATGAAAAGAAGAACGAAAGAAAGAATGAATACAAGAAAGAACGAAAGAAAGAAAGAAATAACGAAAGAAAGAAAGAATGAAAAGAAGAGGGAACGAAAGAAAAAGAGAATTAAAAGAAGAAAGAAAGAAAGAAAGAAAGAATGAAAAAAAGAGGGAAAGAAAGAAAAGAAAGAAAGAAAGAAAAAGAGGAAAGAAAGAAAAAGAGAATTAAAAGAAGAAAGAACGAAAGAAAGAAAGAATGAAAAGAAGAAAGAACGAACGAAAGAAAGAATGAAAACAAGAAAGAACGAAAGAAAGAAAGAATGAAAAGAAGAAAGAACGAAAGAAAGAAAGAATGAAAAGTAGAAAGAACGAAAGAAAGAATGAAAAGAAGGAAGAACGAAGGAAAGAAAGAATGAAAAGAAGAAAAAACGAAAGAAACAAAGAAAGAACGAAAGAAAGAATGTAAAGAAGAAACAAAGAAAGAATGAAAAGAAGAAAAGAACGAAAAGAGACAGAATGAAAAGAAAGGAAGAACGAAAGAAAGAAAGAATGAAAAGAAGAAAAGAAAAGAAAGAAAGAAATGAAAAGAAGAAAAAACGAAAGAAAGAAAGAAAGAACAAAAGAAAGAAAGAATGAAAACAAGAAAGAACGAAGGAAAGAAAGAATGAAAAGAAGAAAAAATGAAAGAAAGAATGAAAAGAAGAAAGAGCAAAAGAAAGAAAGAATGAAAAGAAGAAAAAAACGAAAGAAAAGAAAGAACAAAGAAAAAATGAAAAACAAGAAAGAACGAAGGAAAGAAAGAATGAAAAGAAGAAAAATGAAAGAAAGAATGAAAAGAAGAAAGAGCAAAAGAAAGAAAGAATGAAAAGAAGAAAAGAACGAAAGAAAGAAAGACTGAAAACAAGAAAGAACAAATGAAAGAAAGAAAGAAAGAATGAAAACAAGAACAAAAGAAAGAAAGAATGAAAACAAGAAATAACGAAAGAAGGATGAAAGAATGAAAAGAACAAAAGAACAAAAGAAAGAAAGAATGAAAGAAAGAATGAAAAGAAGAGGGAACGAAAGAAAGAAAAAATGAATACAAGAAAGAACGAAAGAAAGAATGAAAACAAGAAATAACGAAAGAAAGAATGAAAACAAGAAATAACGAAAGAAAGAAAGAATGAAAAGAAGACAAGAACGAAAGAATGAAAAGAAGAAAAGAACGAAATAAAGAAAGAATGAAAAGAAGAGGGAACGAAAGAAAAAGAGAATTAAAAGAAGAAAGAACGAAAGAAAGAAAGAAGGAAAAGAAGAAGAACGAAAGAAGGAATGAATGAAAAGAAGAGGGAACGAAAGAAACAAAGAATACAAGAAAGAACAAAAGAAAGAAAGAAAGAATGAAAAGAAGAAAGAACGAAAGAAAGAATGGAAAGAAGGAAGAACGAAGGAAAGAAAGAAAGAACGAAAGAAAGAATGAAAAGAAGAAAGAAAGACAGAAGGAAAAGAAAAAAGAACGAAGGAACGAAAGAAAGAATGAAAAGAAGAAAAGAACGAAAGAGAGACAGAATGTAAAAAAGAGGGAACGAAAGAAAGAAAGAATGAAAAGGAGAGGGAACGAAAGAAAGAGAGAATGAAAAGAAGAAAAAACGAAAGAAAGAATGAAAAGAAGAAAGAACGAAGGAAAGAAAGAATGAAAAGAAGAAAGAACGAAGGAAAGAAAGAATGAAAAGAAGAAAAGAACGAAAGAAAGAAAGAATGAATACAAGAAGGAAAAAATAAAAGAATGAAAACAAGAAAGAACGAAAGAATGAAAAGAAGAAAGAAGGAAAGAAAGAAAGAATGAAAAGAAGAAAAGAACGAAAGAAAGAAAGAATGAAAGAAAGAATGAAAAGAAGAGGGAACGAAAGAAAGAATGAAAAGAAGAATGAAAGAAAGAAAAACAAGAAAAACGAAAGAAAGAAAGAAAGAATGCGAGTAAGGACGAATGAAAGAAACAATGAATGAATGCCGAAAGAAAATAAAAAAAAGCTGCAACCGAAAAACGTCTACATAGGTTCTTATCCGCAGCAAAAATTGCCGATGTTGATCAATTAGCAAGCGACCTGCGGCTTAGGATTTCATGTGAAACTGAATGGTTTATACTGTGTGCAAAGGACCGCAGCCTTCTTATAGGCAACTAGCAAGCTAATAACTAACATAATAGTACGTACCCAAACTGTAGATTCCGAAAGCAATACATGGAAAATATTTCTCACCATATTCACTCACAATGTGTACAAAACCCAGCCTGATAAAATAGGTCAATGTCTGAATTTACTATGGTGAGAAAAACAGCTGCAAAATGGTATGAACATCATCCTGAATCTTTTGTTGAGGAAGCACGTGTTACAATTTCCGGGGAATTTTATATCAACATTGATCGGTCAATACAAGAAACTCGACCAGATATGATTAGTAGAAATAAAAAAAGAAAACCTTACTAAGTGACAAAAAGATCTCTGTGAAGACTTTTTTTAAAAAAAACTGAGTGAATATGAAAATCAGGAGATGGAAATATAAAAAAAAAATGTGACACTTAAAAACTAAAACTGTTTCTGCTGAAGTTGAAGCTCTGGGACTGATAAAGAAAGGAACTCAAGAGCAATTCAACAAAAATATTGGTGCACGGTGTCACCAGGAGATTCCAAAAATCGTATTAATAAGCATAGCACATATCCTGCGAAATGTCTTCCATTTTTTTTATTACCAATTCTTTGGTTAATTAATTGGAAAGAACAAAGAATTACAAGTTATTGGTTATAACCCGGTGTAAAAGAAATGCAGATAAAAAAGAAATTGTATAATAATAATAATAATAATAATAATAATAATAATAATAATAATAATAATAATAAGAAGAAGAAGAAGAAGAAGAAGAAAAGAAGAAGACGAAGATGAAGTGGATGTGGAGAAGAAAACGTTTTATAGAGGAAGTATGTTGTCGAGTTCACAGAGAAGGAGTACTAACATTCATCGGTGGCTTAGAATGATTAATTGAAATTCATGTGGTTATAACTGCTTTGATTGACAAGCGCTTGGATAGAAATCGCTCTGATATCACATATGTGCACAAATGTAGCCACGAAACAGGCAAAAAGACAGTACAGAAACTTGGCATGTTAAATCGGAGAAATGTAACAAGTAGCATCTCAAGGTATCCCTTTTCTTTCTGCATGGCATGACGACTTAGATATATCTGACATCACTGGGATTGTTCGGTTGGTAGCACTGCTTGAAAGAGTTCATGCCCTAAAGAAAATGTAATATAATAATAATAATAATAATAATAATAATAATAATAATAATAATGGCAATACTCTGCCCGTACCAAACAAGCTGACGTAGACAAAACCCGTACCCATCGGTGGCTACGCAGTGCAGGGTTGAAAGCGGAAACTGAAGGTTTTATCTTTGCTGCACAGGACCAATTCTTGTTAACTAGGAATTATCAAGCACATATACTAAAATATTGTGTTAGCCCAAAATGCAGATTCTGTGATAAATATTCAGAAACGATTGATCATCTTGTATCAGGTTGCACGATATTGGCACCCACTGAATATAAAACCCGGCATGACAGAGTGGGCCAATATCTGCACTGGAAAATCTGCAACTTCTACGGGGAGGAAACTGAAAGAAACTGGTATGAACACCACCCAGACCCGGTTACGGAGATAGGACCTCTTACAATTCTATGGAACTACACAATACACACTGACAGAACAGTCAAAGCTAACCGCCCAGATATTGTTATTAAAGACCACAAACAAAAAAAAGTGCATCCTTATTAATATGGCAGTCCCTGCAGACTGCAATGTAATCTTTGAAAATATTCAGAAAGCTGTCAAAATATAAGGACCTTGAAATAGAAATATCGAAAATGTGGCACATGGGAATATCAACAATCCTGTTGTAGTTGGAGTCTTAGGATTGGTTGGAAAAGATTCCAGTAGACTAATTGAAGGAATTCCTGGAAGTCCATGCCTCAAAGAGACACAAAAAATTGTTCTGACAAGTACAGCACACACATTACGAAGGGCTTTATCTATGTAATTTTTTTCCCCAGTGGAAAATGCCATGATGCATTTTCTAATGAATTAATTGATTTAAAATATGTTTTTTTTCGCTACACAGTTTTAACCATGTTTCAAAAATAATATTAATTTATAATATTAATGCTCTGTAAATTTACATTGAGCACTATTTTGTAAAATAAAAATATCTATAAGAACACCGGATTATATATCTTACTGTTCTTTCTTTTTATTTATATACATACATACATACATACATATATATATATATATATATATATATATATATATATATATATATATATATATATATATAGTTTATGCAAAACTAGGTAATCCGTATGGGTAGACCCAAGTAGGATGATATCCAGAGAGCTCAATATAAATTCAGAGCAAATATGTTTGAATAAAAACAGACTACTTTAAAGTTCCATGTAATAAGTTATTTCACCACAGCCCTTTTAAAGGGCTCTGGATCATCAGACTTTACTTCCAAAGGTTGAAATGAAAAATGAAAAGAAACTTACCCACTTTTGACGAAGGGCTTTATATATGTTATTTATTTTTGTGTATATGTATATGTGTATATATATATGTGTGTACGTGTATATGTCCATATGTATGGATGTACATATATGGGCATTTATGTGTGTATGTGGATATATGTATATGTATATGTGTGTACGTGTGTATGTCGATATGTATGGATGTACATATATGGGCATTTATGTGTGTATGTGGATATGTATTTATGTATATGTGTGTACGTGTATATGTCCATATGTATGGATGTACATATATGGGCATTTATGTGTATATGTGGATATATGTATATGTATATGTGTGCACGTGTGTATGTCCATATGTATGGATGTACATATATGGGCATTTATGTGTGTATGTGGATATGTATATATATATATATATGTGTGTACGTGTATATGTCCATATGTATGGATGTACATATATGGGCATTTATGTGTGTATGTGGATATGTGGATATGTATATGTGTGTGCGTGTATATGTCCATATGTATGGATGTACATATATGGGCATTTATGTGTGTATGTGGATATGTATATATATATATGTGTGTACGTGTATATGTCCATATGTATGGATGTACATATATGGGCATTTATGTGTGTATGTGGATATGTATTTATGTATATGTGTGTGGATATGTGTATATGTATATGTGTGTACGTGTATATGTCCATATGTATGGATGTACATATATGGGCATTTATGTATGTATGTGTATATGTATATAGATATACATATAACTTTATGTGTCTGTATGTATATATGTAAGTATATGTGTATGTGTGGATATGCATTTAGACATGTGCGTATGTATTTCTCTATAGGTATATATGTGTAGATAATGGGAATATACATATAGTTTCTGTGTAGATGCGTGTGCATGTGTATATATGGATTCATAGGTATATGGGGAGATATAGGTATGTAGATATAAATAGGTGTTCGGATATGTGTAGAGGTGTGTATGTGTATGGATTGTAAAAGAAGGACCTAATTTTCTCTTAGTAATGTTTTATCCAAATTTGCTCTCTAGGATTCTCCAATTGGAAGTGAGTTTAAATAATACGGAGGTAAATTTTAAATTGGTAATTTAATTTGAATGTAAATATATTACCCTTTAATAATCATTATTGATGATAAAATTATTTAAATTGGAACAACATTTGATAATAATTAGGTAGGTATCTAAAAACAGTCACGAGTTTAATTTATGAACAAGACTCAAGCGAATAGATGTCAACTGAATAATCAACAAGAAAAAAAGTATGTGTACGGATATACAGAATATTGTAAAAGAAGGACCTAATTCTCTGTTAGTAATCTTTTATCCAATTCTCTCCTCTAATATTCTCCAATTAGAAGTGAGTTTAAATAAATAATACGGAGGTAAATTTTAAATTGATAATTTAATTTAAATTGAAATATATTACCCTTTAATAATCATTATTGATGATAAAATTATTTAAATTGGAATAACATTTGATAATTAGGTATCTAAAAACAGTCACGAATTTAATTTATGAACAAGAATCAAACGAATAGATGTCAACTTAACAAGCTATAAGAAAAAAGTTTAAGAAAATAAAAAAGATTACTAGATATAAAATGGATTATTCTTTCCATGTACTTTCTATGAATTTTTTCCAATCGACTATTTCATAGAAAATACCCAAAACTCCAACAAACATCAAATTAAATTCTTCGTAGATTTTTTAGACATTTAGATTTATATCAAACTTTAACCCCCAAATATACCCTTTAAAGTAATGCGAAATAACAGCGTCTAAGAATTTGAGTGAAACCTGCGCTCAGGGACATGATTTTTTATTTTATTGTTTGCTGTATCTTCTCCCTTTAAGTCGGTCTTCTCCCTCACCCCTTATCCATCTATATGTAGAGATAACATACGTTAAGTTAAGCGACGTCTAGCCTAAACAGAGTGGGGTTAAGGATAAAGGATTGAAAATGGTACATCTAACTCACTCATATCTTCTCTCCCACCTCACTTCCTCACTTCGTTAATTTTACATATGCTTGGTGCGGTCCGTCAAAAATGTGTAAGTTTCTTTTTATTTTTCATTTCAACTTTTGGAAGTAAAGTCTGATGATCCAGAGTTCTTTAAAGGGGTTGTGGTGAAATAACTTATTACATGGATCCTTAAAGTGGTTTGTTTTATATAATATATATATATATATATATATATATATATATATATATATATAATATAAAATAAAAATCAACTCATATGAGGAATAGTTTATTTCGGCAGACGAAGATATCGGTCGTTTGTCTTATCAACCCCGGTGTTGGCTGAGTTCTTGTCAAAAATAGTAATTTAAAAATAATACATTCCACCCTCCTCTGTCCCATTTCTCGTGCATTTCGTCTGACTGAAACATTTAAATGG